AAGAGAAATCAAGTAAGTGTTTATAGTTTCATCAAAATGAAAATGATGCATGTATGATATATATATATATATATATATATATATATAATATATATATATATATATATGTGTGTGTGTGTGTGTGTGTGTGTGTGTGTGTGAAACTTGGAGGCAAAAGAAAGACCTAGAAACACAAAATAAAAACTAATTTTTGAAGTTTGGTACAGGATGTGTCGACTCGTATAAGTGATGTGTCAACACATACGTGACAGGAAGAAGCACACATGTCGACCTGTAGCAAGTCATGAGTTGACACAAACTTCTAGATACTTTCCGACTTTAAAACAACAACTCATTAGTCGACACAAAGCTCGTATGTGTTGACACATAGAGTAGTTTAAAGGCATGTATCAACACGAACATGAGAATGAGTCGACACAAACTTACAAAGATTTGTTTTCTTTAAGACAACAACACATGTGCCGACACGAAGCACGAATGTGTCGACACATGCACACGAGTTTTGTGCAAAACTAGTTTTTCCTTTATGAGATTAATGTGTAACCAAACCAAACTTGTTCTATATGCTTATTAAGGTTCCTAATGACTTCTAATGCAAGGGTGCACACAAATACTCAGAGATATCATTCAATTACATAAAAGCTAAATCAGTTCCTAGTTTTGACATCATACAAAACATCCATAAGAGAAATGCATTCACATACTCCCCCTTTTTGATGATGGAAAAACCCAAGTCTTTTGATGACGTTTTTCATGTCTTCAATGACAACTCCCCTGAATATGTGCACCCATCTTCTTTCCTTATACTTCCCCCCCTTTATCAACATCAAAAATAGAACAAGCACACGATGAAAAGCATCAATATTCACACAAATACGAATATATCACACAAAGGCATTTTGCAAAAGTAAGAGTGGAAACATACATGTTCCCATACACAAGATATTACACAACACTAATAATCAAATAACAGGCCAAACAAAAAAAAAATATGATAACAACACATTGATATTAATTGTAATAGAAGGCAAAGATAAATAAAAACAAACATAATCACTTCAAGGAAGAGAAATTGTCTTAACATAAAAACCAAACCATAAACGAAATTAAACATGAAATGAAAAATGCAACAATGATCACACTAGAATGTATGAACTCA